TCGTCCTCCTCCTCCTCCTCCTTTTGCCCATCGTCCTTCTCCACCCCCTCCCAGACATCCGACGTTTTGATGAGTTCAATGCGCGGCCCCTGCAGGCCCCGACGTATCAATGGGACAACGTTTCATCGCGGGTCTTCGTTTGACGACCCTCTCAGAGCCCCCGAAGGGCGAAAGCGGCGACAGTCTTCCGCCTTGGTTTCGGGCGCATCCTGAATTTATTTCTCGCGGCGCTAGCTACGACTGCCTGACAGACTGACACATTAACGGTTTGAGCGATTGACTGACTGATTGATTGACCATTTGACTGGTCGCACCCGTTACGCGACGGTTTTATTTTTCGGCCGCCGAGGGCGCAACCATGGCGAAACCAATAAGAGGCGTTTTTTTTTGCCGAGGGCACAACATACGGCGCAACCGATAGACGGCGGTTTTATTCTCAGCCGCCGCCGAGGGAACCCATGGCGCTTCCCGGCCGGCGCCGAAGGCGCAACCTATGGCGCAACCGATAGGAGACGGCTTTACTCTCGGTCGCCGAGGACGCAATCAATAGCGCAACCTGTAGGAGATGGATTTATTTTTGGCGCCGAGGGCGTAACGTATGGCGCAGCCACCAAGCGACGGGCTCATTCTCGACCGCCGAGGGCGCAATCGTGGCGAAGTCAATGGGGAACGGGTTCATGTTCGGCCGCCGAGGGCGCAACCTATGGCGCAATCAACAGCAAGCGGTTTTATTCTCGGCCGCCAGGGCACAAATTGCGACGCAACCGGCAGCGAACGGTTTCATTCTCGGCCGCCGGGGGCTCAACCGACGGCGCAATCGATAGGCAACGGCTGTGCGTTCGGTCGCCGAGGGCGCAACCCATGGCGCAACCGGCAGAAACAATTTTACTCTCGGCCGCAGAGGGCGCAACCTATGGCGCAACCAATACGAAACGGCTTCGTCTTCTTGCACTGGGTGACTGGAGCGCCGAGTATTTGATTGTGCGTCGCCCACGCCTATGCCCCCAGCTCTTCCCCAAGCGGCCCTTTTTCCTTCGGCGCCTCTCTGTTCCCAGAAACCGAGTGCCCCCTCCGCCCCGACCAGTTTATTTCGCGCCGCCCCGCCCCCCCCATTCCTCTGCCCCCCAGCTCTCTCCCCAGCGGCCCCCTGTATTCGCCTCCGGCAGCCGAGCGCCCTCCCCCCCTGCCGCGCCCCCAGGGCCCGCCCCTTGCGTTTTCCTTTTTTATTCCTCTCCCTCTCCTCCCCTTCCCCCGCATGCAAGACCCATGGCACGCGTGCCACTTGTTTTCGGCCGCCGGGAGCGCAACCTATGGCGCAACCAAGAGGAGACGGGCTCATCTTCGGCCGCCGAATGCGCAAGCCATGGCGAAGCCAATAAGAGGCGGGCTTTTCGGCCGCCGAAGGCGCAACCTATGGCGCAACCAGTAGGAGACGGGCTCATTCTTTGCAGCCGAGGGCGCAACCTATCGCGCAACCAATCGGAGACGGTTTGATTTTCGGCGGCCGATGGTTCAGTCACCGCCGCAATCAATAGGCATTTTTTTTTTCCTCGGCCGACGGGGATGAATGCGAATAGTACGAGGACGATGCCGACGACTGACGACGACGAAGACAACGACGACAACCGCGACGACGACGACGGCGACGGCAGCGGCGCGGCGAACGCGATTGCTGCGACGATGTCGACGACAGCGGCGGCCGCGACGGCGCCAGCGGAGACGAGGACCGCCGCCACGACGACGACACCAAAGGCAACGACAAGCATGCCGACCCGGCCAAAGCTGGCTGGACATCCGAATGCGCGCGGGTTTACGTCTGTTTGGGCTAGCGGTGGGGCCCAAGCGGCGAGCTGTCTTGCGATGTCATCCACGGTCGTTTCTTGACGGCCCTGGGCCCGCTGAGGGCCCCCAGATACCGATATGTGTGGACAGACCTCCGCTTTGATTTTTCAAGACGTTGGGTCTCTGGGCCCAGCGCCCCTCCTCCTCGACCTCCCCCTTCCCTCTTCTCTCTTCTGTCGTCGTCGTCGCTGTCTTCGTCGTCCTCTTCGCCGTCGTCGCCGTCGCCGCCGTCGCCGTCCCCGTCGTCGTCTCCGACGTTATCGTCGTCGTCCTCGGCGTCCTCGTCGCCGTCGTCGTCGACGTCGCGGTCGTCGACGCCCTCGTCGTCGTCGTCGTCGTCGTTTTCTTCGCCGTCGCCGTCATCGTCCTCGTCGCATTCATCGTCGCCGTCCTCTTCCTCCTCGTCGCCGTCGCGTTCGTCTTCCTCACAATTGCCGTCGTCGTCGTCGTCCTCACCCTCGTCGTCGTCCTCGTCACCGTCGCCGTCGTCGTCGCAAACGTCCCCGTCGACGTCGTCGTCCTCGGCGTCGTCGTCGTCGCGTTCGTCGTCGTCGTCGTCGTTGTCGTCGTCGTCCCCGCGGTCGTCGTCGCCGTCCACTATGGCGTCCCAGCGCTGCTCCGTGGAGTCCAGTTCTTGCGAGACCGACCCCTGACGGAGCGTTGGAATGCAGTTCCTCAGGCACGGGGGGCCGACAATTGTAAGATTTGTGGAAAAACATGATTCAAACTTAAGGAAGCGTGGTTTAATTTGAAATAATTTTCTCCATTTGAGAACGATGTGGGGACAAATCGAGAAAACGTGTTCAACTTGTTCTCAATTTGTTCTCACTCTCAATTTTTTTCAAATTCGAGACAACTGCTTCAGCATTGAACCGCGTCTGACCCGACATCTTATAGTTTTCGGCCCCCCGGCGGCTGCGCAAATGCATCCCAATGGTCTTTTAGGGGTCGGATTTGGATCCCATGGGGCAACAGCCGGGCACGGCGACGACGCCGGCGGTGACGACAGCGCCAACGACGGGCGGGGGGTAGATTGCACACGTTTCCAAAAATGTCCGGTTGATTTGATTTCCAGCACCCCCCCGCTGTGATGTGATCGGGGGGGCGCATTCCCCCCTCCTCTTTTTATCGCGCCCGTTACCGCGAATAATAAAACAAGGAGTTTTCGACGTGAGCTCATCTCGCTCAGCCCGTGCCGCATTGAAGCGGTTGTGGCGCCGACGTGCGTTCTGAGAATCATCGAAGGTAGGGTTCAGCCCCGCCGGCCCTGGGAACGAAACAGGTTACCCAGGCAAGCGAAAGGAGTGACATTCAAACATCAGCGTCACTGGCTAGAGGCAGCGTGTTCGTTAGTCGCGATCTGGGCCCCCTGGGAAAGTACCGAAATCAGAGAGCATAGCTCCCTGTCGCCTCTGCACCATCCTACCATCCTGAATTGCCTCCCTCGCCCGCCTTCGCGCAGCGCTTTTCAGTGGCAAGTATGGTCTTCGCGCCCGTCCGCATGCTCTTGTGCCTGCCCCATGACAGCGTCCGTTCCATCGTACACCATTTCCATTTCCAGTCGCGCGTAATCACTGAGCCGCGCCGTCGTCCTCGTTCGCCCCTCATCCTGCACGCTTACTGCCTCCCAGTCACTCCTTCCACTGTCCTCCTCGATTCCCCGAATCCTTGCCGCATTTTTCTTGCGCGGCCCTTTGCCGCTCTTCCCCCCCCTCCCGATAATCTTCCCCTCCATAACCGGGTCCGTCCCCCTCCCCCTGTTCTCGCCCTCTCACCGTTTCCCCGCCCCCTTGCCCCCCCCTGCCCTCCACCCCCCGCGATCGTTCCGAGCCTGTGGAGGTGGAGTTGCTTGTGGGCGGCGACGACTGCTCGTTCTGCCTAGAGCCGCTGGGGGCCGGAGCGCAGACGATAGCGCTCTGTATGGGGCCCAGATGATCCCCGCTTTCGGGGCGCAAGGGAGAGGGGGAGGGGAGACGGACCTTGGAGCTGGCTGGGGGTATCCGAAGGACGGAGAACGGTACATGGCGGTCCGCGGATGTCTTGGATCTGCGCTGGGACCCCCTGCCGGCGCCTCCGCCGCCGCCCCAGGCGCCTTCCGCGCGCCAGGGAGGGGATTCCAGCTCAGATCGAAGAAATCCGCGCGGACCGTCAGAAGGTTATGTTCGCGCAGCGTTTTGTCATCATCGTCGGAACCATCCCCACGGGCAGGGTAGGTTGGCTGCCCCAGCGTATTGCCCAGCGGGGCAAGGTTTGCCCAGTGTGGGTGGGGATTGTTTTCCTCGTCCAGATGTTGTTCCTCTAGGGATGAGGTGGCACATCACTGGTTCCCGTTCATGCAGACGGTTGAGGAGGGAAGGGCCCCCCCGTCGCCAAGGTTGGACACGGGTCGGCGAGGTGGTCAGCTTCGACCCTGGGAGGGGTCTGGGATTCGATTTCGGGTGAATTTGTATTCATTTCCCTTCTTGACCGATTTCCTGTGACCTTATCCAGCTCAGACCGCCCTGCCGCCCTCATGTCGGACCTGCATGCGTTTACAGACCCCACCCATGCTGGCCCATTCGTCGCTGGGGTATCGAACACCTGTGTGATTAGGGGCTCACTTGGCCAGAGGCGTCCATCAAATTCCGAGCTCCCGATATCCCAGGGATCGGACCTGCAGGAGTAGGGTACACATGTGGGGGTGCCCAGCGGAGAGATTGAGAGGGCGGGAAGGAGGGACGGTGGAGGGGGGAAGAAAGGGGTATGGGGCCGAGGAAAGGGAGGCGAAGGAAGCGGGGAGACGAGGGGTTGCGTTGTTATGCTCTGCGTTGCAGTGCATCTCCTGGCTCTGCTTAGCCTTACTTCGCTAGCTCTGGTTTGCCTCTTCTCGGCTTGCCTTGCATTATCTGCGTTCCCTTGACCTGCTGTAGTGCACTGTGTTGTGCTGCATTGCGTTGCTTCACGTTGCGTGTCTTTGCGCCACATCACGTTGAGGTGCTGTGCTCTGCTCAACGTGTTATGTTTGCATTGGGCTGCGTGGCGCTACCTTGAAGAGTGCCCATGGGAATCGGTGGGCTTGCCATGGGAACGTGGCCCCGAGACACAAGCGCTATCGGCCCCAGAGCCAGCCGGAAGCGGGCAGCGCCCATGTGAGGCGAATTGGGCAGGCGGGTGCTCGCAGCCAGGCTCAAGCCTGTTTGATTCGAGCCTCGGGTCCTCCATGCGACCTCGTCAGGATCGGCGGTGAGCCCCAGAGGGGCAGGTGAGAGGGGGCAGACCTTCTCAGATTGCGGCGGGGGGGTCCCAGAGCCCTCCGCGCCTTCCGAGGAGCCTTCTGAGCCTCCTCCGAAGACGGGCGCGGCCCCTCAGAGGGCGCGAGGGCTCCTGGGAAGCGCCGCCGCCCTCCGAGAAGGCCTGCCCCACTCTCGCGTCGGGGCTCGCCGCCGCCGAAGGATGCGGCGCTTGGCGGCAAGTTCGAGCTGCCTCGGCCCACGGACTTCGGCCCCGCGGCCGAGCCCCTGCGGGTGGTCCTGGCGTGCAGCTTCGACCCCGTCGGCCTGAGCGGCCCTCTGTCCGTCTGGCTGGAGAGGCTCGTCGGCCTGCCCGTGGCGCTGCAGTACGTGGGCTTCGGTGCTGGGGAGACCAACCGGTACCGATGCCGCTACTCCCCGGACCTCCCATGCCCGCGGGCGAGATGTGTGCACCGTACCGCGTTGGTGCCCCTCGTGGCGTCGTCGATTCTCGACCCATGAATGGTACGGTGCGTAGTTGTTCGACCCCCAGAGGCGAACGAATTGTGCACCGTACTGCGTTGGAGCAGGGCGTGAACAGAGTCCAGACATGGTACTGTGCACGGGCGCCGTTCTCGTATCATGGGGTGCGTTCCGACCTGGATCTCGAGGCGAATCCAGCCGTCGCGACGAGGGCTTCCCACGAGGCCCAAAGAGGCGAGACACAACGCAAGGGTAGCGGTATGGGTACCTGCTCCTCCTCTGAGGTGCCGTCCTCGACGCGCTGCGCGACAACCAGTCCGCCTGGATCGAGGAAGAAAAAACAGCATAAACACAAAACTCTCGGAGCTCCGCGCGGATGTCGTGAATTGGCGCTGGGCCCCCCCTCCCTCGCGCGCGAGCCAGGGGCGCCGCCAGAGGCGGCGCCAGGGGTCTCCAGCGCCGATCCGAAAAATCCGCGCGAAGCTCCGAAAGTGTATGTTTGTGCCGTAGGGGGGCCCAGCGCCGATCCCAGGAACCCGCGCTGAGCTCCGAAAGGACATGACCATGACAGTCTGTTCGAAGCTGCCGCCGCGCAACGTACAGTGGACAGTCTTCGGGGTAGGTTCGCGAGCGCGAGACGCTCGACAAAGGATGCACACTGTGTCTCGGGCGAAGGGCCCGCACACCTGAGTGAATGCACCTGCGGCTATTCCTCCTTCTCCTCCTCCTCCTCCTCCTCTTCCTCCTCCAGTGAATGGACCTGCGGCTCTCATTTGTGTCGTTTTTTCTTCCTCGGCTGGAACGAGAACGGGGCTGGCGTCAACGCGTTCGTGGGGCGCCTCGTTGACCTGGAGCGCGAGGCCGAGCGGGCCGGGGAGGCGTGCGGCTTTGCGCTCGAAGCCGGGTGCTGCCAGAGGTGCCCCTGACCCCAGGCGTCGGTCGAGGCATCGAGGGAGGAGATCGGTGGCTCGATTTGAGACGCCCAGACATCCAGCGTCTGGAGCAAAAACGATGAGGTTTTATTTCCATCGTTTTTGGCCTCTGAGCCCTTACCGGGCCTCGGGACATTCAAAAACGGCTCGCGATGGAAGAGTGGATCCGAGGAGTGGTCGAGAGGTCGGGTGCCCGTGTCTCGAGAAAATCGAAACGCCGGATTTTTGGTTTTGTCTCTGTTGATTGGTCACTTCCCATTTGATTGGGATGAGGTGCTACGTCGTTTCTTGGAGCCACGTGGGATGAACCTCCCATGTGGAACCCAGAAGCCAGGGAGATCTGGCGGGAACTCCACGTCAGAGGAGTTCCATGAAGGCCTCGAAAGAGCAACACACACATGCATCAATGCAAGTTCTCAGAGGTCCGCGCAGATATCTCGGATCAGAGCTGGCCCCCCCTGGCGTCGCCTCCGGCGCCACCCCTGGTGCGCTCCGCGCGCGAGGGAGGGGGGTCCAGCGCCGATCCAAGAAATCCGCGCGGAGCTCTGAGAGTCTATATTTATGCCGTTCTTGATTTCTCCACAAGCGTTCCATGGGCGCCCCCACAGCCTTCAAGAGCATCCCTCGACAAGGGCCAGAAGGCCCACGTAGGGGCTCCAAAGAGCAGCGCGGACTGCTGGAGGGGCCTTCCAGACATGCGATGTCCGGGCTCGTGTCGAAACGCGGTCCCCGGAAGTCCCGACCCGTTCGCCCGGGCCGGTTTGTTTTTATCCGAGCCGTTTTTTCATGGTCCTGGAGCCCAGCGAGAGCACCCAGAGGCCGAAGGCGGCCCCAGTCTTCACGTCCTGATGTTCGCCACGACGCGAGCGCCCCCTGGCTTCTGGGGCCAGGAGGAGCACCCCCTGGCAGCCCCGGGGGTCCCCCCTCGAGCCCAGCTCGTGCGCGCTCCCGTGGGGGGGGCGCCTGCTGGCGGCGGCTCTCGGCGGCTCGCGGGCGGCTCGCGAGGGCCGCACGGTGGTCGTGCTCGCGCCCCCGCCGGAGGCGTGCGGCAGGGCCGCCCCCCAACGACGACGACGGCGACGGCGACGACGACGATGGCGACGACGACGACGACGACGGCGACGATGGCGACGACGACGACGACGACGACGACGACGACGGCGACGACGATGACGACGACGACGCGCCGGGAGGCGTTGGCGCCGGGTGCGGTCGGCGCCGAGGCAGCCGCGTGCTTGGCCTCGCGTGGCGCCGAGGTTGTGTCGGGCGGGGCTGAGACGGGGATGAGTCGTTTGCAGAGTGCTCCACAGCGATCTCAGAGCGTTCTGCAACGCTCCGAGAAGGCCGCGGCGCCCGTTATAAGCTCCAGAACCGTCGGATCTCAGAGATCATCGATGTCTCCCTGTCCAATGCTGTCCCTGGCCTGACTTCGTCTCACTCTAGGCCTCATGGGGTCCGAGCAGTTGAATTCGGAGGATCGCGTCGCGTCGCCGATGCATCGCCGATGCGGCTCGATGTGGAGCCCGAGTTTCTCCACGCCGACGGCCCCGATGCATCGCCAACGTCGCCGATGCATTGGCGATGCGTCGGCGATGCGGCGCGATCCTCCGACCCCATCTAATTTTTCGGATCGGCCCCCATCGGGGAGGCCTCCAAGTTGAGACCACGGGAGCTGGCCTTGCGGGGGGCCCTCGTCGCCACGCTTGGACGCAGCTCGGAAAGCTATCGCGTCTGGACCTCGGGAGGGGTCCGGGGGCCGACCTTGAGCTCCCAGTGTTTCGCCTCGCCCTGCCCCGAGAGGTCGCCAGGGACATCCCGCTGCCTGCGGCAGGCCCCGCCCCCTATGCCTGCGCGGCCTCGTAGCGCCTGCAGGGGTGGTGCTGCCGATCGTCTCCCGCACGGGTTCGGCGAAGGAGGAGGAGGAGGAGGAGGAGGAGGAGGAGGAGGAGGAGGAGGAGGAGCAGGAGGAGGAGCAGGAGGAGGAGGAGGAGGAGAAGGAGGAGGAGGAGCAGGAGGAGGAGGAGGAGGAGCAGGAGGAGGAGACATAGGCTTCGTCGCCCGAGCGACGTGGAGCCTGCTCGCAAAGGTCGCAAAGGAGGAGGAGGCACGACATCATAGGGCCAGCCTTAACAGAACCACTCCTGGAGGGATGGACTTAAAGCGTGGCCGGAATGGCGGGGAACTTTGAGATGATCTCTCGGCTGCCACTTGTAACCTGGCTTAGCGGCGTCGGGGCCTGGTGCCCCCTACAGCAGGACGCATACGGACCGAAACGAACCGATCGTGGAGCCCGTGTGGGCATCGTCGCTGTGGCGTCTGCTGCGTTGCGCGGCCGTGGCGTGGCCCGGCGTGTGCGCTGCTTCTGGGCGGCTTCTCTGGGGCCTCGTGCCTTCTTGGGCGCCTCCTGGGGCCTTCTGGAGGTCCAGGCCTCCCAGATGGGGTCGGAGGATCGGGCAGCATCGCCGATGCATCGGCGATGCGGCTCGATGTGGAGGCCGACTTTTCCCACGCAGACGACGCCGATGCGTCGCCGATACGGCGCGATCCTTTGACCCCATCTACTCTGACCCCATCTGGGAGGCCTCTAGCAGGGCTTTCGGAGGGCCCGTTGGGATCCTGGGGCTTGCCAGAACTATCTCGGGGCCACGCCTTGGGGCTGTCTTTTGGAGAGCTCTTCTGGGCGCCAGCCTGAGTCGCCGTCTGGGGGGCTTCTGCCCACCTGAGGCTTTTCGCACGGCTTTCGGAAGCGTTGTGTAGACCATCTTGATCCAAAACTCATCGAAGAATCGTAACTCTGAAAAAAACCGTGTTACAACACGTTTAGCCTCCTGTCCAGGGCTTGACAAAAATGCCCCCACCCTGGTTTACGAGGCGTTGTGCGCTGAAACTCCTGTGGGTTGACAGGGTTAACACTGCGTGATGTGCGGCGTCCTGGCGTCCTCTAGGCTTTGGGGGTTCCCAGGAGGTTTACAGACCACGCACTTGTAACCCAGGTTAGGGCCGTTTGTTTCATTCCTCAATCCCAGTGTAGCTCAGCGCACCTTGCATCCCCCTCGTGGCCCTCTGGGGAGGCCCTGGAGCCGCCCAGGGGTCCACAGGAGGAGCTCGGGGAGCGACGAAGCCACACAGGGTCTGCGGAGCTCGAACTCCCTCGGCCAGGAGGGGGGCGCGGAGGTTGCCTCCTCCTCCTCCTCCTCCTCCTCCTCCTCCCTCCTCCTCCTCCTCCTCGCCCACCTCCTCCTCCTCCTCCTCCTCCTCCTCCTCCTCCTCCTCCTCGCCCACCTCCTCCACCTCCTCCTCCTCCTCCTCCTCCTCCTCCTCCTCCTCCTCCTGCTCCTCCTCCTGCTCCTCCTCCTCCTCCTCCTCCTCCTCCTCCTCCTCCTGTGTGTGTGTGTGTGCGCTGCCCTTCGATCGAAGAAGGAATACCGCCACGAGCATAAACCTGTGGCGCTCCGCGTGGAGATTTCCTGGATCCGCGCAGACGCCTCCGGCGCCGCCCCTGGCACGCCCCGCGAGCCAGGGCGGGGGGTCCAGCGCAGATCCAAGAAATCCGCGCGGAGCGCCAAATATTTTGTTTATGGCGAGTTTTTTGTTCGAAGACGACAGCCAGAGTCCTGCCATGAAGACATCGTCGTCGCCGTCGTCACCGCCGTTGTCGGAAAAGATCTGTGTGTTCTCCGCGTCGTCGTTTGTTGTCGTCATCGTCGTCGTCGCCGTCGTCGTCGTCGTCGTTGTCGCATTCGTCCATGAGTCCATGACCACTCCGACGACTGGCTCCAGCATCCCGCGGGCACGGTATCCCAGCGCGCCCGAGCACCCCAGCACGCCCCCAGCGTCCCAGTCGCAGCACGGGCGGATTCACGCTGGGCGCCGCGAAACCAGGGCCCCTGGAGCTCGACCTCCCCTAGCCTGAAGTCGGGCCTGTCCCTCTACAGGGGGAATACCCAAAAATAGTACAAAAATAGCCTGGGGACTCTTGTTGGACTATTTTTGCGCATTTTTGGAGTACTCTTGGAGTATTTGTAATTTTTCGCCCAAAATCCCCCTGCAGGGGGACACGCCCGACTTCACACTAGCCAGGAGGGCAGCGGAGGGGGGGGCGCCCCTCGAAGCCGACTGCGGGAGCGCCAGACAGCCGCAGGGCATGCCGGCGGCCGGTTGGGACGAGCCGGGCACCACAGGGACGCCATCGGCGAGGTGCAGCTGCTGGAGAGCACCCCGAGGCTGGCAGACCTCCGCGAGCCAGCGAGAACACCCGAGAGCCTGGGACCTCGAGCCCCGACCCCCCCCCCGGTCTCGCCGCCGATGGTGCTACAACCCTCGTCGAGATTGAACGCAAGTTTTTGTCCACCCCCGTCGCCCCCAAATTTCAATGTTCATCGACAGGCGCATCGCGGCCGGCGGGGTCCGAAGAAAATCTGGAAGTCGCCGGCGTCGGCGTGACCGTTGAAATTGGGGGTCGGGGGGCGCCGCCAGGTCGCGGCTAAAATTTGCGTTCAATTTCGACGAGGGATGTAGCATCAGCGGCGAGCCCTGGGGGTCGTTCAAAAGGGGCGGGCCATCTCAGAAGGCTCGGGAGTTCCCCGGCCTTCTGAGACGTTCCTTCAAGCCTTCGCCGAAGACTCGGGGGCCCCCAAACGGGGCGGTGACCACACCGTGCGGTGAGTCGGTGGGGATTCGGGGTCACCGCGCGGTTTTGGGACTCGAGTCCTTCTCCGAGGACGTCTGGGGCGACAGGGGCCTCCGGAGTCCCAAAACCGTGCGGTGACGGACCGTGCGGTGGGGGATTTCGAGGTCACCGCACGGTCCGTCACCGCACCACTTCGGGACTCTCAAGAAGGCACAGGAAACCTTTCAGGAGGCGCGAGAGCTTCTGAGGAACCCCGCCGTCCTCGGAGAAGGCCGTCTCCTTCTCACTTCCCCTCCTCGAGGAAAGGCCTCGGCGGGAAATGCGGTTTCGGCGGGTGAGGCTCCGATCCAGCATCTGGATGCGGGAGGGTTTCGGCGGGTGGAGCTCCGATCCCGCATCTAGATGCGCCCGACAACCTCGAGCCTCGAGCCTCGACCCCCCCCTTGGCTTCGCCGCCGATGCGGTCGGACCGAGGTATAAGATCGAGGTCGGTTCTGGGAGGGTGCCCTAATGTTCACTGTATTTGCTCGATGTTTTTGTGCATCCTTGAGGGGGCACCCTCGAATGTTTTTCAGCTTGGCTGGCAAAAGATCCCGTGTTCTTGAAGGATGTTCTTCTGTCCTAGGTCCGACTCCAGGTCGATGTGCCCCCCCTATGCCAGTCGCCCCCCTGTCGTTGTCCCTCTTCCCTGTCGCTGGACCAAGGGTTGTGTTTGACCCCCGGGGCCGCTCTGCCGTTGCGCGTGCTCTCCAGCCAGAAGAACAAGGGAACCCTCGAGGGCGCGAAGTTTTTCGCGCTTCGCGATTGGCTTGGCGCTTTGGCTCCGCTTCCTCTTCATCCTCCTCTTCTCCCCCCGGGGGGCAGTGCGAGAGCGCGAAGTTCTTCGCGCAGCGTGCAGTGGTCCGACGTGTAGTCCAACGTGTAAGCCCGATTGCAGGACGGGGGTAAATCCGTTCCAGAGCGTTCCGGAACGCTCTCGGAGCGTACCGAAACGCTCCGAGAAGGCCGCGGCGCCCGAGGCGTCCTCCAGAGCCGCCGGATCTCAGAGATCCTCTCGCTTCATCCTCACCCGAGTTGATCCTCGTCCCAGCGCTGGAATAATGCGCTAGCAGTTGCTGGCTCCCATGCGCGATTCGCTGACTACTTCAAGACCGCGGTGCAGCTCGCGAGTGGGAGCGCGTAGTAACGATCTGGCCACATTGCCAACGCCGTGTTGGCTGCACGCTCTTCTCTCTGCTCACGCACCGACTGGTGCAAGGCGTACCTGACCTGACTTGATGGGCCTGTTTTCCACCACCACCATGAGTTGGAAGGGAGCAGGAGGTGAAGGACGAGGAGGAAGAGGAGGACGAAGAGGAGGAGGAGGAGGATGAGGAGGAGGAGGAGGAGGAGGGGGAGGAGGAGGAGGAGGAGGAGGAGGAAGAGGAGGACCCCCTCCCCCTCCAACTTATGGTGGTGGTGGTAGAACACAGGCCTATCACGACCCAGCGCTGCCCCGGCAGCCCACGGGCACGGCACGGCGGATCCGCGCGGCGCTGGCGGGTTGCCGCGGCGTGTGCGTCGCCGACGAGGCCGAGGCGTTGCAGGCCGTGCTCGGCGCCGGCGGCGCGGCCTCGGGCCCCGGGGGCCGGGCGGCCCTGTACTCCCCGTTCCTGGACCGGCGCTTGGGGATCAACAAGCGAAGCGTAGGATGAGGAGGAGGTGGGCGAGGAGGAGGAGGAGGAGGAGGAGGAGGAGGAGGAGGAGGAGGAGGAGGGTGGGCGAGGAGCAGGTGGGCGAGGAGGAGGAGGAGGAGTGAGGAGGAGGACGAGGAGGAGGAGGTGGGCGAGGAGGATGAGGACGAGGAGGAGGAGGAGGAGGAGGAGGAGGGAGGAGGAGGAGGAGGAGGGCGAGGAGGAGGAGGAGCAGCAGCAGCAGCTGCAGCAGCATCAGTGGAGGGGGCGGAGGACGAGGAAGAGGAGGAACAGGAGCAGGGATCAGGGGGAGGAGAAGGACGACAAGGAGGAGGAGGAGGAGGAGGAGGAGGAGGAGGAGGATTAGGAGGCGAACGCTACAAGCATAATAGCACTTGAAGTTTGCGCAGCGTCAAAGGGCATAATAGCACTTGAAGTTCGCCCTCTTCCCCTCGCGACTCCACCGCTTCCAGCGGCCGGGTCATGGCAACCGGAGACGGGCCGCCGCGGCGCGCTTCTTCGCCGCCCCAGCGAGTCAGGCGCAGGAGAGATTCGAGGAGGAGCCCACGCAGGCAGAGGTCGCGGCGGGCCGCCGGGGGGGGCGTGGCTCGCCGCGTATCTCGCGGATGGCGCGGCGTTCACGCAGCCGCAGCCGCAGCCGCAGGACACGGATGTTTGAGCGAGCGATTATGGCCAGGGCGCGGCCGTGGGCGCTCCCAGGCGGTCACCCCGCAGTGGTCACGCGGGAAGCAGCGCGCTCCTCGCCCGTTCCTTCGTGGTGGAGGCAAGTTGACAGCATTTTGGCCGATCTTCCATGAGGCCGAATACGAGATATCATCGACTTCGCCGAGTTCACAGTCCAAATAGACGGCGCGATAGCAGACCCAGGTGAGCGGAAAGCCCTGCCAAAGCGGTACAAGTGGGACGTGGTTCGCCTTGAACTCCACGAGTACGAACGAGCGGTATACCGCGTAGCAGCCACTCGCCTCCTATCATCCTTCGGTGTCGGATGCAGTGTCGGGTACGGAGTGCAGGGCATTAATTGGAAGGCGTTGGTTCCTTGCACTTTCGCCTGTGGGCGGTGTGCAAGATTTGCGGGCGTTGGCCGCTCCCAGTGCTTTAGTGGCGAGGAAGGCGCCCGTGCCAGCAACCCGTGCCTTGCTGGCGTGCGTCGGCGCCTCCGAGCTCCGCAGGGAGCTCTGGCCGCGCACCCCGGCGCCTCCTCTGGGATCCAGTGCGTTGCTAATTACGTTTTTCAGGAGGGGAAGAAACACAGACACAATTAATCGTCGATTCCCCAGAAAGTATGGGAAAATATGGGAAGTGGGGGGGATGACAAAAACCATGAAAATATACGAAACTATGGGGAATCCTGTTATCTGTGTGTATGTATTTGAGTGTCCCAGGGCCCCTTCAGTGAGATCCAGACCACGTTGATGTTGATTTCGTGGCGCGCGCTTTTTGCTATCATGCGGGCAGCGGCGAATGGATGAAGGGAGCAGACAGGCGCATCGGAGGGCTGAGCGCCTAGCAGAGCCAGTAGGCGCTGGCCGCATCCGCTGCCTCGGTAGCGAGGGAGCTCGTTTCGAGGTCAAGTGCAGCGGTGCCTGCAGTGTCAGGACGTGCAAGTGTTCCATAGTTTTCCCATGCCATCCTGGCGTGCGAGTGGGGACGGTACTGGAGGCGCGGGAGGCGTGCAGGAGCGGAAGGGGACCGTTGCGTGAGCGGGCGGAGGCAGACTGAGCGTCCAGCAGGGCCAGCAGGCGGATGACCCCGACCAGCTCCCTCCTGGGCCCGCCTCTCCTGCACTGCGCGCGGCGGCGCGATGGGGCGCGGGGCAGGGAACGCACCGGCGGGAATCGAGAAACGAGGAGGAGGAGGAGGAGGAGGAGGAGGAGGAGGAGGAGGAGGAGGAGG